CTACCACTTATTATTTTCTCAGTCATTTGTGCCACTTTCAAGCTTTCGATTATATACGATTAATAGTATATTAATAATAAAATTATTAAATATTAACTCGTGTACGAATTGAATTCCAAAAGCTCTAAGGTGCGAAGCTTTGCATAGATGAGTTTCTTTTGCTCTTTTGGATTTGTCAAAAGCAAAGTCCAGTCACCCGTTAGATGCGTTCGAATAGACATGGTGATAGATATTCTTACGGCTGTCAAATTGTAAATAGAAACATTGGTTTTGGCGCTGTAAATTTGCCTTTTTTATACTTTGAATATAACCTAGTGATACTATACGCAATATGTATAGAGAGCTTTAAGATATATCATTTGTTAAAATCGTTTCAGACCTTAAGTCAAAACATTCTATATAATAATCCTGTTTCGGTTTGGCCGATATTCCACCGAAGCTTATCAACTCTGACGCGTTACGTGGGAAAAACAAGAAAGCATGTAAAGTCGCGTATACAATATAATTTTACGCCGCTCGTATCTGCCGGCCGGGCGAATTGGTCGGTCAGCGTGAAACAACCCGGACACTGGAACTATAATAAATCAGGTGAGATCCAAACACGGGTTTTTATAGAGAGCCCGCTCTCCGTTGCAAATGTGAGTTTCGGGCGAAATTTTCCGCTGTCACCCCGCGCTTGTAATGTCGGCCACACTGGCGTGGTGATTTATTCGTTTAACATACGTTTCCTTTGATATTCCGTTTTATGATGTACAAGTAACACATATATCAGATGTATGCATATTTTTTGTTAGTCCACTTATTTTTGCATTCCTGGTTTACAAATGTGAGTACTCGTCGTGATGACGTTGGATTTTACGAATGTACCTTTGCGTGGTGCGACGAATGTGATACCAGTCTGAACTGTTTTGAATATTGTCGCTTCAATGTGTTTATCGTCGTTACGTTTTGTTTACAGGCTGATTGTCAGCCAGTTCTCGATGAAACATAGAATTGAATTTCACTCTTGAAAAGACCAGACTTAATGGACAAATTTTTAGATCTTGTATAATTTCTGCAATCGTTACCATAAGTTTATCGTAAAGATGAATCAGCAGTTATATATAAGGCTTTGTAGCCGGGGGTCATGGGGTTAAGCCTAGACAATACTACTAAAACACGATTTTTAATTTGGCTGGGTTACGTATCATTCCTCACATAATTTATACCGTTATTTATCTAATGATATAGATTCTTTGAGTTTATAGAACTAGATAACTAGCTTGTATTTTCGAGTGATACTATTCCTTTTCGGTTCCTGCTATCTACTCTCTGAGCTTATTATTATTAAAGATCTTAGGTTATTTATTTAAATACGATCTTGGCTTCGATAAAGTAATGCGGGAGCTTATTTCCAACTATGAATGTTGACTGTGATAATGCAACAAAATTTTAGTTCACTTCATAAACTTAAATCCTACATCAGATCCTTTCTTTTTAAAGCCTTATTGTACTACTTTAACAAGGAGAGTCGTTCATTTTTTTTACCTAACGCCCTTTTCCGTCCTACTCTAAAAAACGCCTACGCTGTTCAAGTATTTATTAACTATTTATTATATTATCTAGCGATATTTAACCGCATTCGTGATGTTAATAACTATCTGATGTTTAAGCAGATAATCTTTTATCTGAGTAAATGAGTGTATTTGCGGATCTTAATTGACATAAACGACCGATAGTAGCGATAGAAGATTGCTTCTATCGCTATGATTTAAATGAATTTGTTTTCAGACGACAGCTATTGTTTAAATGATTCATATGTTCAAAACTTCTAGTACGTCGAATGCAAGTTATTGTTCTGTGCTTGTGTCTATGGTGTTTTATGTTTTGTTTTCGTTATCACTAGAAACTTCATTCCCGGCTTATTGAACCCTTGATATATTTATATCATTAGTCAGATTAGACCAAGGATTTTTTGTGCATATCTCGTAAGTGGTACTGGCAAACCTGCGCCTGTGAACAGACTTGGCGTAGATACGATGTGATAAGTGTTAGTGTCAGTCGGAGAGTATTTGCCCCGTTGCCATGGCGACCCCGGCACCCCCCAGGGTCTCCAGGAACGTCTCCCTGCCGGCGGGGAGACAGCCCCCCACCATCGGCATGCTGGCGAGGAGGACGCTCTCGGAGAGGTATTTGGAAGTGTAATTGATTTGATTGTTCATATTTCATTTATATTTTCGAGTTAAGGAATTATTATAACACGAGTGCAATGTAGATGCGCTCAAGTGATCACGTACCTATATAAGTGAGATTCTTGCAAATTTGCAACCGCCTGCTATATCAACGTTTGAGTAAGATTTAAAGATCTCCTTTTGTGTATTCAATCCGCTTTGCAAGAGTCAAAAGTTTTTTTAGTTTTCGGATTATTCGGCACTATTTATAGATAAGTTGTCAACGACGTTGATCGAGGATTTGTTATCCAAATAAACTGGTTAAAAACATGTGATGGTAAATGTCTGCTTTTCTATTCGCCCTTTAATAAATTAAGCGAAAGACTCACAAAAGTGTTGTATCCAGATTTTTTAAAAGCCCTTAATATTATTTTAGATTAATATTAAGGTTATAGCTTGGAATAGATGACTTGTGGTAAATCCAAATCGATGAAAAAGGAGAAAATTGTAAATTTATCAATAATCACGATTCTAACGAAGAATGCAAATTGTTGTGTAATTTCCGCTTGTTTGTAAGATAAAATCTTCTAGGTTTAACTGAATATGGCTTTACTGTGTGGGCCTATTTACCTTTAGGTATCAGTGATTATATAACAAAGTACTGTCTAGATTGTAATACGAAACAAAAAAAAAGCTATAGTAAGTTTTATCTATGAACATTTTAAAACAACGTATCCGTGGCGACAGTTTGTCTGTCCGCGCGTGAACGTTCGCCTCCAGTGTTATCTTTCGTAAATGCCGGACGATTACGATAATTGTTTTCGCCTTTATCTGCCATTTAAAAGCGACCGTTTTCGTTTCAATAAGGTTATTTGTGTTTTGAATATGATTTTAAGTTTTGAAGTATAATAATATAATGGAAACAATTTTAGAATAATGTTATAGCTGGTTGATATAATTAACTGTTATTTTATATTTTATATAATAACAGTAACATGCTTATGTAAGCTTATCGGCGAATCAAAGTAAAAGCTTTGTAAAATAGGTGACCCAGTTGTGCACCTTGGGGTACGCCACGAATGACCTTGATACTGGTAACTGTCAATTACATTAACTCCTCCAACGTAAAACGCCCTAATGGCTTCGCAGAAGGGTCATTTAGCAAACCCCTGCATCATAACTCCCCATACACCGCTAATGTCGTTTTCTGGTTAGACTTAACTATCTAATGTAATTGAGAGACGCCCCCAACCACAGTTATTCATTATTATAACTAAATAGTTATGGGGTGTTGATACTTATATGTGGATAGTCGAAAGAGACCATGCGTTTGACATGATACTTAGAGAGTACCGCCATCTCTATGGATGTATAATATCTATCTGTTAACTCGCACATCATATGCGAAAGTAAGCACTTCCACTTAATGCCGTTGTTCTTTGAGATCATTCGAGCATCGTCTGACAACATTATATTCCTATGAAGTCTGGGAATTTAAAAGGTCTAAGAAAAGATGAATATCACTTTCTGAATTCGTCGATGAAGGTACAGTTATGGCAAGGATTTTAAATTATTAGATACTAGTGACCCGCCCCGGCTTCGCACGGGTGCAATGTTTTATACACATAAACCTTCCTCGTGAATCACTCTATCTAGTAAAAAAAACCGCATCAAGATCGGTTGCGTAGTTTTAAAGATCTAAGCAAACATACGGTGAGACAGACAACTGGACGACTTTCTTTTATACCATGTTTATTTATTTTATTTTATGCGAAAAGTTGTCAAACGAGCACACGGTTCACCTGATGTTAAGTGAATACCGCCGCCCATGGACATCTGCTACACCCGCGGGTTACAGATGCGTTGACAACCTTTTGAAAATTGGGCTCCGGCCACCTCACTCACCAGACGAAACGCGAAAGTATTTGTCATACTTCCACTTTACGCCGGTCTTCTGTGAGGTCGTGGTACTTACCCGGACGGGCCTGTCCATTCGTGCAACAGCCGAGGCTGCTGCGTGGCCCTACCACCGTTAATACCATGTAAGAATAATACTATCGGATCAAAATTAAAATCCTGAAACAGACCGAAAGCTTTGACCAGTAGTATTCATGAATTAATCGATAAAGCTACAGGGCACATTTTAAGGCATATATTTTAAATTTTTGTCATCATTAGATCAAAATTTAGATAATCAAACCTGAAACAGACTCACTGTCTAGTGCCCTTGAGCAGCACCTCAGAATAACGGTGCAAACGGCCTATTTGTTTGGAAACAACGTCACGCTGCACTCCCGCGTGTCAAGGTTTACGACATGAAAATGTCACACGTGCGACACGAAACGCGGGCGCCGCGTGCCGCCGCGTCGCCACCGGGCCCAGAATTAGCCGCGCCTTTTACAACTTCCCGTCTATGTTTGCTTAGCGGTTTCCTTCTGGCCGACCCTTTATTCGCAACGTTCGCTATCGATTCGGGCGGTTGCCATTTGATTATGAGAAGGTTAATTTCAGCCTTTATCTCAATATTTAGAAGAGTCCAACGCCCGGCTTCTGGAACACTGATTATCGTAGATGTCAACTAATCAGCTGTCAAATGGCTTTTCAAATTTCATTTTAGTTGCCAAACTGATGGTTAAACTCTCTGAAATTACCAGAAAGATTTTCTTAACGATCAGAATGATTAATTCAGAGAGTTTAACTATCCTTTTGGCAACTCAAATGTTTTAATTAGTTCACATCTACGGTGATCTGCGTTTCAGAAACCGGGCGTAAAAGTCACTTATAAATTGGAAGTACAAAACTTTTAAAGATACGTTTCCAATGAAATTTATATTGTGTTTCTTTTTCTAGTGATTTGGAACCCGGCGCGGCAACGGCGCCGTCTGGTAGCTCGAGCAGTTCCAGCTTATCTTCTAGAAGCAACGAGAGTAATACCGTCGCAACTGAACAGCAAGGTTGGTTCTTATTCTGTAGCACGTAATGTAGTGTATAGTTGTAGTTCATCAATTAATTAAAATACAGTGTAAATATCATAATTTACACCATGGATTATTTTTTATTTTTATCGCAAACCATAGGTGATTGATGAGTTTACAATATACGCTAAGTTAAATTATTTTCCTCATTTTTCAAATCTGCTTCGTGTTAAATTGTTTACTTCCTAGACTTTCCATTTCCTTTCGCCACTTCTTCACTGAAAATTCTTGATTTCTTTTATTAATTTATATATTCAGAGCCGCGATCTCACGCGACCTCACGAGGGCACTGTCCGGGCGCCGTATTTAATTCAATATTCAATTCGAGCAACCTGAGTTCGATCCCCGTTGCAAAAGTAACGACATTGGTAATTCTAATTGCTGAATTATCACGCTCTCAGCGGTGAAGGAAAACATCGCGAGGAAACCTGCATATTTTCGAAATAATAACAAAAACAAAATATTTCGAAGATATGTGAAGTCCGCCAATCCGCAGTGGGGCCGCGTGGTGGACTATGCCTTGATACCTTCTGTACAGAGGAGGCCTTTGCCCAGCAGTGGGACATGAATAGGCTGATACTTTACTTTTTCTTTTTACTATATATTTTAAACTTATATTTATTACCTAACTAACATAGTGTAACGAATGTTTTTCATCAAAATGGTTGTACTATATTTCGTATAAGGGCGTCCAATTCGATTTCTTCGGAAAACGCATGCTAAAATGCTGTAGCCTCCCAATCAGACTGGTCCGAGGAGGACGAGCCGCTGGCGGCGCAGTGGGCCGACAACCTGCCGCCCCAGGTTCTGGACTCGTTGCTGCTGTCCGCCAGGCTGAGGAAGCGCCAGGAAGTTATACACGGTGAGGAAAATAAAATGTTCTCTTTATAGCAATGGTTGTACAAGTGGCCGATACCTCCCCCGGTGGGCGGTGAGGCTATCTGAGGGGGCGGTTGAAACATTAGATATGTAAATTCTGTGAGCTTTGGAAATAATAGGTTTTCTTCGTGAGAATCCTAAGATGGCGAAAAACTATTTTCTGTGTCTAAATTTTATTATGAGCTACTATTGGGTAACTGTAAAAACTGTGTAGATGCCACAGCTGCCCTTTTCATTTTCAAGACAAATATATAGACCTTACCAGAGAAGAACTGGCAAGTGAAACTGCGGTATTGTTTTTTAATGGCGTATACAAAATTATTATTTAAGTACGACTTAAGTTACTGTTCAAGCTACACTCCTCTGGAATGCCCGAAATGGATACACTTAGAAAAGCCTCCCTGTATATATCACTACGACAAGGGTTGACTGGTAGAGAATGTCATTAGGCATTAAGTCCGTCCCATCGTATCCTTTAGCCTAAGGCCTAACAATGAAGTATAAATAAGCAGCAGCTAGAAGGCTTGCTTGCTCAACAGAGCTTGCATTAATGTCGTTTTCTGTCTCGCGAACAGAGCTCATAGTGTCGGAGGGGTCCCACGTGCGCTGGCTGAAGGTGCTGGACGGCGTCTTCTACCGGCCCCTGCTGAACCAGCCCTCGCTGCTGCCCAGCGAGGACTTGAGAGCTCTGTTCCCCAACCTGCCCGGCGTGAGGGAGAGGCACGCCAAACTGTACGCGGAGCTGAGGACCGCCAGAAACGAGGCGCCCAACCACATCGTCCAGATACGACCCGTAGCCGAGGCATTGCTGAATACGGTGAGTGTTTTTTTTTCTTGTATTTACGCGATTACACATTCTTAAATCATCTTAATAAAAATAAAAATGATAGCACGTAACTCAAGAAGTTCTGTTTTGTTAATATAGCCTTATTTATAAAATTGCTTACTTGTGTCTTCAATAAATGAGTCAAGACACGCAAATAAATGAGTCTTAAGGACGCTTTACATACATAAATTTCACGTGGACAAAGGAAACAATTATATGTGGGTCACGCGAATATTTGTCCGTACGTATTCTCCATACGTACCTCTACGTATTCTTCCACATTACAACAGCCCCTTGCCATTAGGGTGGTGTCTGATATAATAAGGGTCTGCTGGAGGAGAACTCTGTTCAGGGTTAAGCTCGCATTTGTACGTTTCTCTTGTCATTTGTTCTAATTGTCTGTGTTATAATTGTGTGTACAATAAAGGGGGGAAAAAAAAAATTTGTTGTCAGCTGGGCGATTCGGGCTACGCAAGCTGCCTGTCTCGCTTCTGCCGCGGCCAGCGCATGGCCCTGGACGCGCTGAGGGAGCGCCGCCGCAAGCACAAGGAGCTGCACCAGTTCCTCTCCAGCAGGGAGCAGCTGCCGCTCTGCGGCCGGCTGCAGCTGAGGGACCTCCTGGCGTGCGTGTGGCAGAGGTGAGTGAGTGAATGAGTGAATGAAAGAATGAATTGTCCACCACACATAAAAGGATGCACAAAGTTAACAATAGACAAACAAATTAATTAAATGCACAATTTGGCGGTAACGCTTCATAGCGATCTCTTCCAGGCAACCAATGGCGCAAAGGAACGTTTACTACGTAGGTGATTGTATACAATGTCGATTTTAGCTTTGGTCTCTGCGCCTATGAAGCTTAAAAGAAATAAATATTTTCGTACACCTTTGAGCATGACACTTTTATGTGAGAAGGTGGTAAGCGAGCTGGCAGTTCACCTGATGTTAAGTGATAACCGCCGCCCGTAGGGTTGCAGATGCGTTGCCGCCTTTGGGACTATGATATACTCTAATCTGATCTTTTTTAAAAAAGTGGACTGTTGAGTTTCTCGCCGGTCTGTTCTCAACAGAAACTGCTTCCCGAATCGGTGGTAACGTACCAATATTTATATACCAATTGTTGTGTAAAATTCGACGTTTCGAATAAAGATATTTCGAGTTCGAATTAGCGAAATCGCTCTCCAACGTCAGGTTGACCAAGTACCAGCTGCTGCTCGAGGGCATCCTGAAGACGGTGAGCGAATCGGAGGGCGACAGCGCGGAGGACACGGCCGCCGTGAGGCGCGCCCTGACGGTGGCCAAGGAGGTGCTGCACGGCGTCGACACGGCCATCCGCACCGCGGAGAACGAGCACAGGTGAGGAGCGAGCGCACAGACACACAGGCACACAGGCACACATATTATAGCGAACGAACGATCAGTGTATTTTTGCACGCGGATGTTTGCTCGGCCCCAGGTTGTGCACTAAGGACACGCAACAGATTGCTTACTAAAATAAAAATCCAAAAAATTTGTGACGCAAAAATTATCGAATGGGTTTTAATATAACTTCAAAATATAGCTTATACATTAGAGTGGCACGTAGGTTATAATTTATATAGACACAAGCGTCTCACAAAGTAACTGTTCTGTTTGTTGCGCATTCAAGACTAAACCGCTGAATCGTTTTTGATGAATTTCGGTCTAAATATAGATAGGACCTTGGAGAAGGAAATAAGCTAATCGGAATATTAAACCTGCGCAGACGAAGTCAGCTTTTTTTTTGTATCGGGTGGAGAGGGAGTGGGGGATAGGGGGGGTATTATCAAAAGATACCGTCATTTCTTGCATGACGGGGTTACGTGGGGTTCGTACCACTGAAACCCTCCTGTTGACCACCTTCTGTACGTTTGGAGGGATCTCCTACGGAACCCGCCAGTGTATTCCTTCGACATTTGGCAACAGCCCGTGACCACTCCGTCCTGCTGCCGGTCCGTGTCCCCTTTAAAGCCCGCTTCCTATACATAATAATCGATTCGGGCAGGCTGCGCAGCATCCAGAGCAAGCTGGAGGTGCGCGCGGCGGGGCCCGAGTGGGAGGAGCTGCGCAGGCTCGACCTGACCGCGCGCTCGCTGCGGCTCGAGGGCGAGCTGGGCCTGCGCCACGACTCCACCAAGCGGGTGGCCGTGCTGGTCAGTGCGTATGTCTCTGTGAGAGTGAAAGGACCCCAAGTGAGAGAAAAGGCTATGATGTCCCACTGCCGTAAAAGTCCTCAGTGAATAGGCCTTCGCCCCTCTGAATGGCGAATGTCCCGCTGCTGAACGAAGGTGTCTCTATGAAAGTAAAAATTCTCCACCAAGCGGGTGATCCTGCTGGTGAGTGATAGACTTGGTGGGTAACTGTCGACACCTTGACCTTCGTAGTGGAGGCTCTGATGTTCCACTGCTAGGCCTCCTCTATATGAATAATAGTAAAACTATGCAATCATTTCCCACTGCTGATTGAGGGCATTCTGTATAAAAGTAAAGTAACAGCCTATATATAATCCACTGCTGAGCAAAAGCCATATAGAAGACCATAGGAGTTATATTCCACCACGCGACCGTACTGCGGACTCAAATATTTTCACTTCAGATTGCGGTTACAATCTCATTGGTTCCGGATTTTTTTTATGCGAAAAGTTGTCAAACGAGCAGACGGTTCACCTGATGTTAAGTGAATACCTCCGCCCATGGACATCTGCCACACCCGAGGGTTACAGATGCGTTGACAACCTTTTGAAAATTGGGCTTCGGCTACCTCACTCACCAGACGAAACGCGAAAGTATTTCTCATACTTCCACTTTACGCAGGTCTTCTGTGAGGTCGTGGTACTTACCCGGACGGGTCTGCCCATTCGTGCAACAGCCGAGGCTGCTGCGTGGCCCTACCACCATTGAACTCGAGTTGCTCAAATATGTTGCATTAAAAGCGAACGCCCGCAAACTGACCTATCACGGCCCTCTTATCCTCTTTTTGCTTCTCTTTATTACGTTATCTTCTGTTTATATCTCGCTCATCATCTCTCCGTGTTTGCCTTTGCTACAACTTGGATCTGTCTCTTTCTCTTATCGCCTATTTCTACCATCCCAGGCCCTGATGCTGGAGGACTGCCTGGTACTGCTGCAGCGCGAAGGTGATAAGTTCGTCCTGAAGCCGATCAACCAGCCCAGCCAGCAAGGACAACTCTCGCCGCTCATCAAATGGTAAGTTTCTTTTGGCAATTTGCCTCTCATGTGGGCCATGTACTGAATCCGCGCCTAGGACCATGACATACTAAACTTAGAAATAATTGCTCCAAATCTAAATACTTGCCTGAGTTAACGCGAGATAACATCTCAAATTGTAATGAGTTTAGTATAGATTGTCAAAAATAGCAAGGATAAAAAATGAGATTAATAGTAACAGTACAAGTATCCAACTTGAACTCTTTCGTAACATTAACGTTTTCATGTCACTGTCTCAAGGTGTGAAATATTCTTTTGCCTGAAAAATCTGTCATGATTTAAATGACAGGTTCATTAAAACATACCCGAAATATTAACGACATATGTGAAATAAGAATTGTTATATCCAAATACGGAATTAAATTACGATGATTAATAAAATGAACCGACTATATTCACCACTGACATAAATAAACAATCAGTTTATGTCATTAAGGATAACCGGTGACCCGGTTTCTCTGTTGTTTGATTCGGGTTAGTTATTAATACTATTTAGCGCCTGTTTAGTCACGTCTCCAGTTTATGGTACTTCTAAGTTACTTATAAATCGAATAAGGAATAAAAGGGGGGCATGTATACTACCCTGAGGTAATCCTTATGCTTTTATTGTAATATTGTTATCACATTAAACATTACTGTTTTTTATGACTCGCTGTCATGTTTACTAAGTTCGAGGCTCTAGCGCCGGGGGTCTTGGGTTCGATTTCCACAATTAAATACTTGTAGGAATCGAAACAACGGCTGCTAATGCATGACCACACAGATAACTGTTCCGGATCTTGGTGTTTCTTCCCAAGCACGTTGACTTTTATGTAATAAACATAGTGTTTTTCATTAAAAACTAGTTACTGCTTGGTACGATCAAATAAATTCGTTTAGCAACAGCATAATATACAAATCCATTGTCTTTGTATTAGTACATTTTCGACATAACTTTGTTGAACATGAGATGCGCACCACTTGTTCTGTGAAAATGTGTGCATTGAGAATTGGACCTTATTCCGCAGGGACAAGGTGCTGTTCAGGCCGAACGCTGCCGTCCGCAACACCTTCTTCCTGATGAACATCAACGGGGTCCAGATGCACGAGCTCTCAGCCAACACTCCTAATGAGTACACCACGTGAGTCGAAGCTAAAGTCGAAAGTCAAAGTCAAAGCTAAATTAGAAGCTAAAGTTCAAGCTAAAGTCAAAGTCAAAGCTGAAACTAAATTAGAAGCTCAAGTCGAAGCTAAAGCTGAAGGCGATACTAGGTATCTGTTCTAATTAAGCCAGATTTTACCTCTGTTCTTTATATGTTTATTATCTCTGCGAGCTTATTTCCGTATTCGACGATCGTCGTTTGGTATTAATTAGTAGTTTATAGGATAATAGGGAATCTAATGTATCTTGGTGGCAGATTTAATTCAAATCCGTCCAGCCGTTACTACGTCGGAGCAAAACAAATAGAATTCCGTAGAGGAATCTGCGTTCAAAATAATATTGAACATTAGTAAAACTACTCACCGCGGCTTACAGTTAAAGTTGATAATTATTTAACAGTACTTTTTAAAATACAGTATATAATGAATAAAAAAAATCTCACACTCCAACCTACTTCAGGAAGCTATTCTGATAATGAGATTATTTTCAGCATTCGATAAATCAACTACGTTCAAGGTTTCAAAGAGTTGAGTGCCATATTTTCTTATTCACTCCATTCTCTTTTGATGCTCGCACGCTTTTATTTATTGCCAGTCTTTTCGATTTTCTAGCATTATTGGTATTTGTCTATGATTTATCAAATTTGATGTCGACTCTCGGCGTTTCGAACGATTTGCACTGTTCAAGGTCGCCTCAAGGACAACGGTTTGATGATGTAAACTAACACCCGGAACAACTTTTAACGAGAGACATTTTTATTCGGTACGAGGAATACCGTAATGCGCGAAGTGATCATTGGCACGGTGCCATCTCAACCATTTTGTTATCCCAGTCTTAACGGTTGACTCCAATCACTAACGAAAGATCTTAAAACAGCTTCTTAGAGGCAGGGCCTACGGAGAAAGTAATCTAGTGATAATCTAAATTCAACTTAAACGCATTTACACACGACTGACTGCAACAGCGAAATTAAATCACGACGGGTGACTGATTCAATTTCGCCGTTCCAATGTCAGTCGTATGTGGAAGAGTTTAAGGTTGAATTTGGACACTCCGCTGCCACCCCGTGCTCAAGCTCTGGTCCCGTGCAGGTGGGTGAAGCACATCCAGCAGGCGCCGCTGGCGCCGCTGGCCACGCTCGCCGACCTGCGCCCCGCCGCGGCCCACGCCCACGCCCAGGCCCACGCCCACGCCCACCCCGCCCACGCCCACGCGCATCCCACGCACCACGCACGCTCCAACGACGACTCCGGTGAGTGCGAGCCCACAACCCACTTGGTTTTTTGTTACAAAACATTGATAAGTCTATATGTCTCCGTGGCGCCGTTGCTAAGCTATTCGCTTCGGCGTCGGGGGTCGCGGGTTCGATTCCCATACGGTACAACTATTTATCTGTGTTTGTCTACCAAGGTGGGCTGGCGTTAGTCTCACATAAAACATGATTCATACCGTTGCACCGAGGCCATCTAGGTGGGATAAGACCATAAAAACTAGAACGCCATTGCAGGCATAAACGTGTCCCGCAACCCGTCGGACGCGTCCGAGAAGTCCTCCTCCACCGCGCCCGAGGACGAGCGCGAGAACGAGCGAGAGCGAGAACAAGAGCGAGAGCAAGAGCGAGAGCACGAGCATGCCGAGCAGTCCGCCGAGCAGTCCGCCGAGCAGTCCGCCGAGCGGTCGGCCGACGGCGAGCGCGACGCCGACGAGAGGGACGACGAGAAACGCGAGGAGATCGCCAGGGATGCGGATTCAGATGATTCCAATAGGTGGGATTTTGTGCTTGGCGTATAATACTTCAGCTTTTGCAATTAATTCGTCTCAGTCAAGTAGCGATTGTTATATAAAGTATTTTTCAAATCGCCGCCTTCGCTCCCGAAGGTACAGCCAAGGTACAAGGTTTCGAAAATATAGTGCTTAAAATAAAGATAAACCACGACCAAATCCTCAAGTTAGTTTTATTAAAATGTGTGACATTCACATGCACAAAAGAAGTTAACATGTTCCATGTTCGCTCGTGCGTAATGTTCAGTTCTGTTTTGTTAATGGGTAGACTTCGTCATTTCCGTTTGATAGAGTCTGTTTGACAATAAGCACTACCCGCAGGCAGCGGCGCGCCGCGGTGGGCCGCATCAGCACGCACGGCGGCGACGCCGCGGAGGGCGCGCTCTGCGGCCGCGACGCGCTGGCCGTGCACGCGCCGCCCGCGCCGCTGCTGCTCGCCACCACCGTGCTCACGCCCCACGGTGCGCCCTCGCCAAGCCCCCTTCGTCCTACGCCCCCGTCGCTCTACGCCCCCCACCCTCGCCTTTTTATTATTCCTACCTACACTCATCATTACCTCATAATAATTTGTTCACGCCCCCCATACTTTACTCTACTACAATTTTAACTTAAACTTCGCCATAGCAAAGCACTAAATCTCTCTCGCCCTTCGATCGCTTTCTGCGCTCACCGAGTGCATTTTAAGCACCTTGAATCCATCTGCACCTAGTTGGTAAATGCAGAGATGGTTTCATTTATGTATTCGATATGATTCCATTACCACGACATAAGCATCGCTTAATGCTTGGCAGAATTTTACTTGCACACTGTGTTGATTATTGTGGACAGTGCGCATATTGTTTTCATAAAGTGTGTTATTCAACTTGTGCACCTAATAAATAAAAAAAAAGACGTGTTTTTTACTTATGTACGCACGGAACTCACAACTCTAATGCTTTAATGAAATAAATTGGAATTATATATCTCGAAAAGTTGTTATCTGTCGCCGCGGAAGGCCGTAAAAGAGAGGCGAGACAGTGAGACGATAACCCCACTCGTCCCGGCGCAGAGCGGCTGCGGCGGCTGGACGCGCTGATCGTGCGCGCGCTGCGGGCCAAGAGCGCGGCCGTGGGCGCGCTGCTCGGCGTGCCGCCCGCCTGCCACGCGCAGCTGGCAGATATGGCAGTGGCAGACACGCTCGGACAAGTCGGTCGGTGCTGCCACGCCCCTTCGCCTTCTCGCGCATCACTGCCGATTCCTACTTATACAATATTTGCTATTGCAGACATGTCGGGCATCGAACCGACCGAGCCCGATTCCGACGCCGACATCCACCAGCTGCTTCTCGCTGCGCACACGCAGGGTAAGAGAAGACGTTTGCTTTAAATTAACACGATTTGAACGGTATGATGTAGCTCAATACAATCGCAGTAATTTTAAATAAGAAATGACAAAGTCAAATTTAATCGTTGTCTTTATCTAGCCATTTGTAATCGATAGTGTCTAGTGGCCTGTGATACTTAGTTGTGTCGCAGCCAGTAGAGGGCGTTGAAGTATTACATGAGATTTTGAAAAATCATCGACAGTTTTATCGTCGACAATTTCTCTTATTAAAGGTTAGTCCCCCCCAAATCGAGTGCCCCCTCGGCTCCCCATAACCGGTGACAGTTTCCGTGCTGAAGTCCAATTGTCCCCAGCGAACCAGCTGACGGCGATGGTGTCCCTGGCGCTGACGCTGGAGCCCAGCAGCAGCATGGCCGCGAGGGCGGGCACCTGCGACGGCTGCCGGCGCCACCACGGTACTCTTCACTCCCTGCAAAATTCCCATTCACTTCCAACTAAGATGTCGATAGTTACTGCCACGGTCTTCTCTGTTGCACGAGTGAGCAGGTCCGTCCTTGTAAATACCACGATCTTGTAGAGGACTGGTGTGGAGTGGAAGTGTTACACTTCTGCGTTCCGTCTGGTTAGTGAATATTTGGGGTACACTATTAAAAGATGGCAACTCATCTGCGACCAAACGGGTGGCCAGCTTGCTTACTACATTTTTACAAATTTACAAATATTTTTGTTATCTTATTTTTATAGTATGTCATTAGGAATGTTTGATTCGAACCTCGACCCTCCGTAAGCAGATCCGGCGGACGCTTCCCAAGAGGCGTCGGAGCTGTCCGAGTTGGAGGGGTGTCTGCGCGACTCCGAGGAGCTGCTGGACGGCTCCACGGACGACGCCTCCTACGACATGCTGTCCGATTTAGCCGCCCGTGACTGCGTAGAACCGCCCTTCGGTGAGTTGTTCGCTAGATGGCGTGGGATAAACGTCGTAGTAGTTTGGCTGTTTACCGGTAGATGGCGAAGAACATTTGTCGTGGTAGTTTGGTTGTTTATCGATAGATGGCGTGCGACCGACATCTTAGTAGTTAATTTTGGATTTAATTAATGGAGATATAGTAAACCACTACGATTATTTATATTATAATGAAGTGAAATTATTATAAATTAATTCAATTATTCAATTTTAAACAACAATCTTTAAATCTTATATTACCAGGTTTTTTAACAATGAATCAGCTGTATAACATCATGAGATTTGTACCGAGTTACAATATAAATAAAGTGCCGTACTGTTTAAATGATAATATTGATTAATTTTTATGTACCTACAATTTAGCTTGGTCTATATGAAAGACCTTTGATGTTGATTACACTTTGAATCGGGGCTTCAGGTCGAGGAGCGAAAGAACCTGAATCGTACCAAAAGTTACCTTTAATATTGCGCACTCATAAAGTGTTAGGAATTGCACATGGTCGGTATCAGGCGGCGGCGGGAGCGGAGCGGGCGCGGCGCTGCTGGCGCGGCGGCTGGCGGCGCCGGCGGCGGGCCTGGGCGCCACGCTGGCGCGCCTCGCGGCCGCGTTGCCGCACCGGCTGCGGCCGGCCGACGCCAGCCGCGCGCTCCTCGCGCAGCGCAGGGACCGCGCCGACGCGGAGCGGCACCGCCGCGCACGCGGTGAGCGACGCGCTCCTTTGCCTTACGGAGCACACATATTGTTATTTGTTAAACGAACGATACATCGATATTGCCGGTAAACTTTCTAGGCTACGGTCGACAAATTAGAATATATCAAAAACCAATTGGTAAACTTCTACCGTTTTTGCTATCGGTGATTGTTCACAAGACGTACATGTCAAGTATTTAATACGACAAATACCCTGTACCGTATTCGAATCTCAAAATTCGAACACTGCCATGACATACATTGACGTCTAGCTCAAGAGTTCGCAATTTTTTTTACATTGCCCTTACTGTAGAATAACATCATCCTATGTTGTGAGGGCATTTTACACGCATAAATTCCACGTGAACGAACACCCACATCCTATACAACCTATGGATTACACAAATAGTCGTCCCGTGTAGAAATCAAAACCACGACCCCGACGCCGAAACCAATGCCTTAGTCACCGCGCAACGGAGTCATCGAAATACGAACGCAATTAAATACAAAACGTAATTTGTACGGTGAAAATTACAGTAGTAATTTGACTTATTAAATTATTTTTACACGACAGATAAAGAATAAAAAACCAAGCAAAGAAAATAATACACATAACTCATTCATCAAAAACAACACACCAATTCAGAAAATCAACCATAATCCGAATCGAACGTAAATCCCCACCCGCTGATTACTTCACTAATTACTCGTGACCCGTTCCAGATTACCAAATGACGGAGGAGATCTCGTTCCCCACGGGCTTGGACCAATCGATACAGGTGAGTTACATTTTTTATCGTAACATCATGTTCAAGTTTCACCTCGATTCTATTACGAAGTCTCAGGCGAAAATCGGGCACGAAGGACCATGGCTTGAACTATATCCTATACTTTAAGCCGTAAAGGGAAAGCGCTGCTCTCTTCGATTAGCAAAATATTTTTATGAAGAACAATCACATTGCAAGGCGTGCTACAACACTGTCCTCGCTCTGGTCTTTGCACTTCCCGCGCCGGTTAAGGAGCAGAAAGGGGGAGAGAGAGAGAGAGAGAGATATATATAAATTTAATTTTGGTGGTGTTGCGTAAAATCGCATCGATCGAAAGTACTTTGACCGACATCTTTGATAAATAGCTTTTTTATACCGATTTAATCATTTAAGAGTCCATCGACACTAAAAATAATAATAAATTTCAATATACAGCGTGTCGTTACCATCGCGACAATAAATGAACACACGTCTAACGCTACTTGCCAATAATCATAAAAAAAATATTAACGTTAAACAAAATCCGTAATTAAACAAAAATATTTTTCAAATAAACTAATTAAGTAAAAAAGAAACAAAATTTATAACATCCTATACAACTCGCGCCACAGCGTCGTATTACAAGCCTCTCCTTCTACCAGTATGTTTTGTCTCTTTTAAATTCATTCAACCCATTCATATGCTTTGTAACCTTTACAAATGAACTTTACGTTACGCTTTTATAGGTAAGGGTGTTCTAAAATTAATAACTCTAAAAATATTGATGTTTAAAGAATTTAAATGTTTAATACAACTTTAAAAAGTTATCCCCTATATGCGTGTTCATTTATTGTCGCGATGGTAACGACACGCTGTATAAGACAAAACTTATTACGAATTGTAAATGTAAAATAAGCAATCGTGTTATTTTAGCGTTTCGTATTATTTTAGCTTTACACACATAGTGTTTAATATCATTTACGGTGTTATTTAAATACTCCTATCGTTCAAGTACTCATTGAAAGTTTAATTTAAGTGTTAGCAAACTGTAAAGGTAGATTCTCTTAGCCAAATTCTCTTAAAATTATCGGACGTTTAGGTCAGGTGGCTAAAGCGTCTGAGTGCGTTCAAATTAGTCAATTCACACTTTGCAAGTCGAATACGATACAAATCTACTTTGTCCAAACTTGTGTCGCGATCAAAACAGAGTCAGAGTAGTTATCACATAATCTTCTTCTTCTTTCTCCTGCTCGTATCCTCCACTGGGTGGGGCCGTATATCCTTTTGTCGGAACCATTTTGTTATTTCAGTTGTAGGCTTTTTTTTAAATCACATAAATATGTAATAACACTGTCATAGTATCCACGCGATTTTAAATTGAATCACGTACTAAACGCACGCACGACTTTCCGATTTTAGCCATGAATTGTTAATTCCTTTAGAAAATTTCGTTAATTTTTTACTTTTAACGGTATGTATTATTTAAATAAGACTAGCTGTACAGTTATACAGCCTGGTAAAAAACAATATAATGTTACGTTCTCTTTCTCCACTCCAGGACCAACCGAGCAACGGGGGGTGATCTCTTGAAGGAGCCGAAGACCAAAATAGAACCTACGACCGCGCGACGCACGCCGACCACCCGAACCACTGCACCCACGCCGTCTGCGACCATCCGGCGGGCCGAGGCGGGGGCGCGCGCCTCCTCTCGCGTTTAACCGTTTCGCGTTAAGTCGGCGACTACTTGTGTAACCGGGTTGATCGAAATAAAAAAAATCACGTTATTTTTTTAGTTTTTTTTTCTCGCACGTCGAACACCGGCGAGTCGAGACGGACGTTTGTATATTTTGTAATTGTTTTTGTTCTATCCATTTTCACACTTTGTTACCTTTGCATTGTAAGTCGTCTGTAGTTTTAATCGATGTTTTTTTTTTTAAATTAATATGTACTCTAGCCATAGTCGATCTAGAACCGTGTATGTAAAGATATTTGTATTTAATGATCAATAATATTCCATACGTAAGTTGCGCAGAGTCTCACTTAGTGAGGCGGGCCGATGTCCCACGCGTAAGTTATTTTTTGTATGTAAATAGTGCGGAGCTTTGTATGTTGGCTTGTATGATGCTGTGGCCCCGAGGGGCTGAGTATTAGAAGGGACAATATTCGAGCGTAGGACCTTGTACATAGACGCGGCCCAGATGCCGCGACAAGCTCGACGTGACAGGCTCGTTGCGACAGACTTGTCATTACTTGTCGTGACAGGCTTGTCGCCTCATAGGCGGGCCCGGCAAAACCAAACGCGTAGCAATGAGTACCTTTCTATTGCCATACTTAACCGAAATGTAACATAGCTGTTTAGGATATACCCAAATCCTCCAATACCAGAGCGAAATAATACTTTGTAAGTGTCCAGTTTGTGGAGCCTTTACCGACTATCCTTTTCGATGTATTTATATCTATATAATGCTTATTAGATTTGTAATTATATCGCCCGTAAAGTTGTAATACCTTGGAATTCGTTTGAAACGGTGTTTGGTGTAAACTTTTTGGTCCTTTGTAACCGGATAACAAGATAAATATTTATGAATTTATAAATGCAACCGAACACTGTGAACTTGTTAATGTTAATAGTTAATGAAGCTTGAACAGCGTATGTATAATATTTAGAAAATTTACGAAACCCGCACCCAGTTGTATTATCCACACGTTTCGATGTCTTATACAATTAATCGTTTAGCAAATGTATTGAACTTTTATATGTTATGTATGTTATATATTTAACCGCTCGGTATTATCATATGTAAAGACATTTGTATCTTAACTCGTGTAAGACGTACAAGAGAGTATATATTTTGTAACTTAGGCTAGGCTTAGACCAAAAGAAACCCATCCAATAACCACTTGTATATTATAAAGCGAGCTTTGTTCGGACTTAGAGGACAGTGCGACGGCGTATTTTATATATATATATATATATATATATGTATATACACTATCGTTTGGACGGCTGTTGTTTATCATGTCGAGAATTATATGAGCATTTTATATTCATTAACCGCGTAGACAATCATCTTCGTTCACTAAGGAATCGTTTAAATCGTGTGATACTGACAATGTCCCGCTTTCTAATTGTTGTTGGGAGTCATTTGAAGTTGGAAAATTGGGTAGTTTGCTATATTTATCTATATATATATATATATGGCGATTGTTCCTCACTTATTTCCGCCAGCACTCCCACATTCGCCATCGCTTTAACCCGTGTAGACAAAATTGTATTAAATAGATAGCGGTATAAATAAATACCTTTACACTGATTTGTCGTTTTATTTGAAATGTGAATTTGTTACACTGTGCCCATTTTTCAAGTTGGGATCGTACCCGCGGCATTTGAGGTGATTGATATTAAAAAAAAATATGGTAAATTTACTCCTATAAATATGTCGCATGTAAAATGTATGGAGCAGAATTATATCCTAGTTTTGATCTACAAACCTTTATTATTAAAACAAAAGAAAGCCCCTTTAAAATGGCATTTTGTTTGGCAATTGATAAAATTATACCTGTAATTGGTTCATGTAAGCCCGTGGTAAATACGATATGAATTGTCCGTGTCCCCATTGCGGATTTGCGGTATTTCTGTATAGTACATTATGTTATTTATTTTGAGCCTTTTTTTATATATTTTATTAAGGTTGACCAACATTGACACATGCAAGAATTATTTGATTGATAAAGTAAATACTCCAACATTTATCGTTGAATACAGCATTCTTAACGTAAACTCATGTCTTATTTAAATTAAATAAAATTACTGTATTTTTCTTTATACATTAGAGTGAGAAAAATACTAACAACAGAAAAACGCGAAAATGGGAGTAAGTTAGCAAAAGTATATAATTATCTGCCTAGCCGAGTTGAATTTTAGTAGTCAGTAACCATTTTAATTATCAATTTACCACCACTACCCAGTACTCACTTTATACCATTAGTTAAAATAATGCTTTATGACAGACGCGATTTCTACAGAAACTAAACATTAGAAGTGGGCGATACAAATCGTATACAGATATGAAAACTATATATTAGTGCAATATCTGAAAATCGCTTACTGGCTCGTTCAAAATCAATGTATTTTACAATATCTGATATTTCCGAAATCTGATGTACTGAATACTCGCTAACTCGCTATACCAACACGAATCGCGATATCATTTACGCGTTTGCCACAACATCAGATTTTTAGACAAAGCGCGTGAGATACAAATATTCACTAGTTAGAGCAGTACGGCAACAATATCAGATTTTTAAACAGATTTTTATGAATAAGTTAAGTAATTTTGAATCTTAACATCTTGCAAATAAGATCCGTTTGATTTAAATACCGTCTGCTTTTTTAAATGTCTTTTATAGAAAATGTGCTGAACAAATATTAAAAAAACATCCTAACATTTAGTTTCAATCAATATTGATTTCTACTCCTTCTGTTACTTCATAAAATAATATTAGTTGTGCATTATTGTTGTATTCATTATATTTTATATTTGGATATTTTATGGTATCAATAACGTTAGGAAAATGAATATCCATTATACTGACGGTGACGACACCAATCATGTTTAATAATATAGATCACCGGTACCAATGAAATTGGTAATTTTAAGTTCTGAATTATCACTTGGTCTATATTATTATTATTTTTAGTATACAGCGTGTCTTTACCATCGCGACAATAAATGAACACACATATAGAGGATAACTTTTTAAAATTGTATTAAACATTTACATTCATTAAACATCAATATTTACAGAGTTATGAAATTTTCCAAAACAAATAATTTTAGAACACCGTTACGTACAAAACTGTAACGTAAAGTTAATTTGTAAAGGTCACAAGGCATATGAATGGGTTAAATAAATTTAAAAGAGACAAAACATACTGTTAGAAGGAGAGGCTTGTAATGTGACGCTGTGGCGCGAGTAGAATAGGATGTTACAAATTTTGTTTCTTTTTTACTTAATTAGTTTGTTTGAAAAATATTTTTTTTAATTATGGATTTTGTTGAACGTTAATATTTTTTTATGATTATTGGCAAGTAGCGTTAGACGTGTGTTCATTTATTGTCGCGATGGTAACGACACGCTGTATATTAATGATCTCTCCCCTTTTATGCCAGTGGATTGTGTGATGTTGTACTGTTTGCTGACACGTGAATAGTTTAGTTTTGTGCACACGTGAATAGTTTCACATATCCTCCACTGGTTTACTATTAATAATATGAAAATACGGCAAAACCCCCCTACATGATGGAAGTCCAAAATGTGCGGCCCCAGTCCCCGGCGGCCCTGCTATTCCTGGCTACGGTAGTGGTCATGGTAACGGCAGGGCAGGGGTTGCTAAGAATCCCCGGCTAGGATTCGGCTACCAACGACGGCGACTGGACCTGGCAACATACAACGCAAGAACATTGAGGACTGACGAGAAGATTACAGAGCTGGAAGAAGAGGTGAACAGGCTGCGCTGGGATATAATAGGATTATCTGAAGTCCGAAGACAGGGGGAGGACACGATAATCCTTGAATCCGGCAACCTGTTTTACCACCGGGAGGGCGACCAACTGTCCCAAGGAGGTGTCGGATTTATCGTCCACAAGTCTCTCATTAACAACGTTGTTAAAATCGAGAGTGTGTCGTCGAGGGTTGCGTACCTTATACTCAATCGGTATTCGCTGAAGGTCATACAGGTTTACGCACCAACGTCGACACATCCCGATAATGAGGTGGAGGCAATGTATGAGGATATATCACGAGCCATACATTCCTCCAAAACTCAGTACATGGTGTTAATGGGAGACTTCAACGCAAAACTAGGCAAAAGGAAAGACGATGAGCTGAGAGTAGGTAGTTTTGGAATAGGGCAACGGAACCCAAGGGGGCAGCAGCTGGCTGACTTTATGGAGAAGGAGGGACTCTTTATGATGAACTCCTTCTTCAAAAAGCAGCCCCACAGAAAGTGGACCTGGATTAGCCCCGATGGTTCCGTAAAAAACGAGATAGACTTCATTATGACGAACAAACGGCAAATATTCAATGATGTCTCTGTGATCACAAGGGTGAAGACCGGCAGTGATCACCGATTGGTGAGAGGCACATTGAATATTAACATCAGGCTGGAAAGATCTCGTCTAATGAAGTCCACACTCCGACCATCTCGTGCCCATATCCAGAACTCCGAAAGCTTTCAGCTCGAGCTACATAATCGCTTCCAATGCCTAGAAAATTGCAGCACTGTGGACGATATTAACGCTAAGCTCGTGGAAACTGTCCATGCCGTGGGCCTTAAATTTAATAAGGCCCGCCGCACAAATAGAACGCAAAAACTCTCCGATCACACTCTTAGCCTCTTGGGAAAAAGACGTGAGATGCGGCTGCAGTCTTCAACTGACATGTCAGACTACAGGCGGCTTAATAGGCAGATCTCCAAATACATGCGGCGAGACTTACGCAACTTCAATACAGCTCGTATTGAGGGTGCTATAGAGCGGAACCTAGGCTCAAAAGTCTTCGCCAGAGATCTGTCTATCGGACAAAGCCAACTGACTAAGTTGAAGACTGACAGCGGGGCTATCATCTCCAGTAGACCAGAGGTTTTGAGTGAGATTGAGAGGTTCTATGGACAGCTGTACACATCGTCGTTGGAGCCACACACATATGTGAGTAACCCAAGAGCAAAGCTTATCCGACACTATTCCGAAAATATCCCGGACGTTAGTCTGAGCGAGATTAGAATGGCTCTTAACCATCTTAAGAATGGCAAAGCACCGGGAGAGGACGGAATTACAGCAGAGCTTCTGAAAGCGGGTGGAGAACCGGTACTTGTAGTCCTTCAGAGGCTCTTTAATTCCGTCCTTCAGGGTGGCACTACACCAGAGGCGTGGAGCAGAAGTGTGGTGGTGCTGTTCTTCAAGAAAGGCGATAACGCTCTCTTGAAGAACTATAGACCGATATCCCTTCTGAGCCGCGTCTATGTGCTGTCCTCAAGAGTCATCTTGAATCGTCTCGCTTCCAGACTCGACGACTTCCAGCCTCCCGAACAAGCCGGATTCCGAAAAGGCTTCAGTACCATAGACCACATACACACCTTGCGGCAGATTATACAGAAGACCGAAGAGTATAATCTGCCCTTATGCCTAGCGTATGTGGACTATGAGAAAGCCTTCGATTCTGTCGAAATGTGGGCGGTACTTCAGGCTCTTCAGCGGTGCCAAATTGACTGTCGGTATATCGAAGTGCTGAGGTGTTTGTATAGCAAGGCTACGATGTCCGTCCAAGTACAGTCCAGTAGTACAAAACCTATCCAACTGCAGAAGGGTGTAAGACAGGGTGATGTCATATCCCCGAAACTCTTCACCGCTGCGTTGGAAGATGTTTTCAAGCTTCTGGACTGGAAAGGACGAGGTATTAACATCAATGGCGAATACATCACCCACCTTCGATTTGCCGACGATATAGTCATCATGGCAGAATCGCTGGAGGACCTGGGTGCTATGCTCAATGACCTCAACAGTGTCTCCCAACGGGTGGGCCTTAAGATGAACATGGACAAGACGAAGATCATGTCTAATGTCCATGTCACGCCTATACCGGTTGTTGTTGGGAGCACAGAGCTCGAAGTTGTTGACGAGTACATTTACCTAGGACAGTTAGTCCGTCTAGGTAAGTCCAACTTCGACGCAGAGGTCAATCGGCGAATCCAACTCGGATGGGCAGCGTTCGGGAAACTTCGCCAAATCTTCTCGTCGAATATACCTCAATGTTTGAAGACTAAAGTCTTCAATCAATGTGTGATGACCTACGGAACCGAGACATGGTCCTTCACTGCTGGCCGTATGAGGAAGCTCAAAGTCGCTCAGCGAGCTATGGAGCGGGCTATGCTCGGTATTTCTCTGCGTGATAGAGTTCGTAACGAAGACATCCGCAGTAGAACTAAGATAACCGATATAGCTCAGAGGATTAGCAAGCTGAAGTGGCGATGGGCCGGCCATATAGCTCGTAGAACCGATAACCGTTGGGGAAGAAAAGTTCTCGAGTGGCAGCCTCGTACTGGCCATCGCAGTGTAGGACGACCCCCAACTAGATGGAGTGACGACCTGTGCAAATGTGCGGGAAGTCGATGGATGCAGGTGGCTCAGGATCGTACTTCATGGCAGTCTATGGGGGAGGCCTATGTTCAGCAGTGGACTCAAACACGCTGAAATGAATATGAAAATTCCAAAAAAAAAAAAACAGATGTATTCTTTTTACCCTTCCCAGTATAAGAAGGAAAAGTTTTAGTTTAATATTAAATAACGTACCCATTAATCCAGTTGAGTCTGCTGTATTTCTGGGAATTACAGTAGATTCAAAGCTCCAGTGGAGTCCCCATATATCATCTCTTGCGAATAGGCTGAGCTCCGCTGTTTTTGCGATTAGAAGTGTTACGCAGCTAACAGACATCGACACTGCCAGACTTGTTATCTTTAGTTATTTTCACAGCATCTTGTCGTACGGCATTTTGTTGTGGGGTAGTGCATCAGATATAAATTCTATATTCATTCTTCAAAAAAGAGCTGTTCGAGCAATCTACAATATCGGAGCCCGGAATTCACTCAGAGATCTTTTCAAAGAGGTTAATATACTCACTGTTGCTTCTCAATACATTTATTGTAATATTTTGTATATACGTCATAACCTTAATTATTACCTAAAGAATAGTGACAGACATTAAAAGAAACACTAGAAATATGGACAAACTTACTACACCATTGTTTCGTCTACAAAAAGTAAATAGGTCGTTCATGGGGCAAAGTGTGCGCATGTATAATAAAATCCCACAGTCGATATTAAATCTGCCGCTTGACCAATTTATATATATATATAAAAGCATATTATACAATTTCGGAATATCTCGACGACGCCAATGTGTGGAGTTAATATTGTTGATACTCACGTAGGCTAGAATAAGACTATTATACCTGTATATTATAATGTACCCTGATATTTTTGAAAAAGAGCAACTGTTGAGTTTCTTGCCGGTCTCTTCTCAATAGAAACCGCTTTCCGAACCGGTGGTACCTTACGAACCTATATACATAGTCTTTGATGTAAAATTTGACGATTCATAAGAGCGCGCAAGCGTCTATTGGAATAAATATATTTTTGAGTTTGCATATTTTCGAAATAGGAAAAATATTTCGAAGATATGTCATGTCCGCCAAACCGCAGTACAGAGGAGGCCTTTGCCCAGCAGTGAGACATGTACAGGCTGTTACTTTACCTTTTTATTAGAAAGAAAGAAAGAAAGAAACATATTTGGCACATAATAACAAAATACAATAGTACCTATAATTAAAATAAACCAAAATGGTCACCACTCAGCTTCATATCACGATGTTGACAACCTTCGTGAATGCTGGTTTTCAGTGGAACCTTGGGGGGAAAGAGATAGATGGCCCTACGTAATAATCGTAAAGAATTTATATAGGATACAATAAAATTTACAAAAAACAACAAGAATATTTGACTAAAAATTAGAATCGTTACACATTAAGGACAAAATTATTTTAAAACAAATTACTTATTTTACCTGCCACGCGTTTGTGTTCTGTGTGATAAAAAAAAACGAAGATTATGTTGTTGTATTGTGAGATGGAGCGAGAAAGTGTGTTTGTGTTCGTATTAATTAAAAAAAAGTCTTATGTTTTACTGCAAGTATATGTATTTTCTAGCATCTGAGACTGACATGTTAACGTGCCGGACTAGGAGTCTAAGCGTATGTATTATAATCAAAGGAAAGTCGCCACTACAATACTAATAAAGAATTCTATTAATGGCCTCTGCGTTAATCAAAGAAAAATAATGATGAATTATACGTCCTATTTTCCGTACACATGATTTTCATTGCAAACTAAAAGTTATTATCATAGTTAAGGTATTACTGTATTGATTTCTTTTAGTTAATAAAACACAACGTCCACATCTCAAAAGTTTATTTCTAGGTAAACACTGTTCTTACATTAATTAGTAACTTATCATTATCATGAAATTAGGACATTGGTTAGGATATCTTCTTCGTTTCTTTATTCGAATACATGGGTTATTTTTGGTTGTAATTAATGCGATGAACCCGCGATTTGTCTTTTAAAGTGTAATACTTTATCCTGTTGTAGTATATTTGGCAGTAAATTTCTTTTTACTGTCCTCTTGCATTATGCTATCGAAATATGTTAATTTGTAGTTAACAATAACTTCCAGTGATGCCTTTGTATCTGAAAAGTTAATTCAAAAAATTAGGAAGACACGCAGACATAATGCCAAACTTCTTTTGTCCAACTTTAATTTTAATTACTAGGTTTAAAAATTATTACGTTAATGTCCACAGAAACTGAATATCAAAAGATTAATTTTGATTATAATTAAACATCTACAAAAATCACATTTTAAAGATCCATCTTACGTCGCAGAGACGAACACTAAAATGATAATATATTATGTGTGGATCACACCAACTCGTGTGCTTCGTGAGGATCGAAACCACGACCCATCGGGTCCATCAAATGAGTAAAAGCTGACTTACAATTCGCACTTTACGCAGGTGAACGCTGGACTCCTGACATAGCCTATAGGGCACTTCCCGTACCCGCGGAAAGAGAACCTTCCTCCGTTGTTGAACCTGGTCACCCAATACTCTGGGCCCCCGTACCTCGGCAGCACCCGCGCAGTGGCCACAGCGCACAGGCAGAGGCACACGAGGGCAATTAAAATCCGTTTGTCCATCACGCCGGATGTATTCTCACTGCGTGTTCGGAGATTCGCTCACGAATAAATACTACGCAATGATTCGGTCCAATTTATCGTTTCCTCAAAACACGGATTACGAGGAAAACGGGCTTAGGCTGTTCGGACACACGGTCCGGACGAACAGTTGGTCATCAGGGAATATTCAGACTTTTAACAAAGCATTTAACAGACTTTTAATAGAGCTAAGCTCGAACCACATCCTGGGCTGACTAGGCCATTGTTTTAACTGTTTTACTTAAGGTTGGAAACGAAGATTAAATAAATAAATCAAGCGTTTACTGTGGTCGTGTAACGCTGCAGTTAGATAGTGAGCCTAGTCGGGGAAAGTGCTAAACGTCATAGCCAAGTAAAGATGTATGTTCTTGCGTTTACAATTGCGTATTACTATTATAGCTGGCAACTCATCTGCAGCACATGTATAGGTAGGTATTCACTTTATAGCAGACGGCCAAACGGCTGGCTAACAAAGAATATTAAATGAAACTAATTTACGGATTTTATCGCGTTTTAAATTTTATTTTTAATTCTCGACGTTTGATACTCTTTCCAGCATATATACGGTCACGGGACAGACGGAGTTGTATCAGGTTGTGATTTCAAAGTTAACCCGGGCTACCGTCACAGTAATAAATTAATTGAGGATTTAAACAAACATTAAAACGCGACAATATCCGTAAAATAGTTTCTTTTAATGTACTTATAATATTCGCGTAAAAACAAGAAATCAATATAATTTGCAAAGAATATTTGAGAACAGAAAAAGCATCTTGTAAAAAATTTTATTTCCCAAGTTGGCGTTACGATTTAACAGTGTTTGGTTTGTCAAACCAGTTATCAATAGAATAAAATTAACAGGGCCTTAGTTTAAGTGGAACCAAGTTATGGCATGAATTGTAATTGCAGCAATTGATATGAATTGTGACTTAATAATCACAATGTCGATTCCTAAATCACTATTTTACTTATTAAATATCTTTGTAATAAGATTATTTTCACGAATTGTTTCATATGTCCGATTGCTTGATTCTTTTTCTGTTATAATCCGGCGTGAAAACTGGATAGTTTTTCCGATTAAATAAATTTTTTCAGTGATTAGGTGCGCAAAACAAAATAGTTTTTGTAATTAAAGAAACGACATTTAATGTTAAAATCAAATGTCGTTTTCTAAATCACTATTTTACTTATTAAATATCTTGTAATAAGATTATTTTCACGAACATATGACATCTTATTCTTTTTCTGTTATATCCGGCGTCAAACATAGTTTTTATAATATAAATTTATCAACGGCCGGTGCGCGAAAATATTTAAATTAAAGAATAATTTAAATATATATATATATATATATATATATATATATATATATATATATATATATATATATATATATATATATATATATATATATATATAATATACAAGAATTGCTCGATTAAAGGAAAAGATTTTTAAATTATTTCATCGCGTATAAATTCGGTCCTAAGTCCTGATGTTTCGAACATTGCAAAATTCATAAACACAGGGCGGATTAAGATGTTTTACATCGCAATGTATGCGACAGTTAACTTTTTTGATAATTCCCTCCGTCCAAATCCCGTTTTAGGGAGGTAAACTTTGAGTAGACAGTGAAATCAAACCGAGCTTATTAAATCCCACAAATGAGATCGCCTATTACTTAGTGTAAAATTCATAAAATTCAGTAAGCGCCGCTGCCCCTGTTAACTCCATTTTTTTTAACTTTTTATTCTTCAATTCAAGTCCGGTCATCATTTAATTCGTTAGTTGGTCCGTCGTAGGAAGCCTCGTATGACGTCAAAAATTGAATTTATTGCCTCTCATTGAGGTCCGATACCATCCCTTGATACAATGAGTGCGACGTAGGTTCGATGCCCACAGCGGCGAATCAATTTTCGATAATTTTTCTACAAATTTTAAAAATGTTTCATATTACGAAGCTAATCCACAATATAGATGGAACATAAATATCGTTTATCAGCGTTTATATCGTTAATTATCAAAGAATGTCCATTCAATGATGAAAGCATACCAAAAGTTCGAGTGTTATTCATAACTGAACGGCCAAATTAAATGCGATTAATGCGTAAATTTGTTTCATGCAACTGCGAACAATACTCGAGTCAATTTGTGGAATAATATCGGAGTATATTAATATTAACTAAACCATACGTTTGTCTCCATTGGATTTACACGAAATTGTCATAAACAAAGCAAATGTGTTTGTGACACAGTGTAAGTCGGGCGATGCGATTCATTTTAAAGACACGTAGGTAGTATCGTTGATTCGTTGTTCAGTTCGACTCGCTGAGCCCAACTGAACAACGAATCAACGAATTCTTAAAATGAATTAGGAACACAAATAAAACAAGCCTTTTTAAAACTACAACATTTATTAACAATTACGTGAAGGCTTACGTGTAAATTTAGCATTGAGTTCAGATTTCGACCATGATCGATATGACATTTATGAAATTTCATGTCATGCACATTATTGGGACGTCAGTCGACAACGATAAGGGTCAAAAGTGCGGTGATCACCACAATGGTCATGGTGGTGGTTTTAGTGGAGCCGCTGTAAGGCGGTCTTCCCTCTACCAGGTCTTGCATACCGCGAAGCACCGCTCTCTTTGCTCTTTCCAACTCTTCAGTCTCGCTATCGCCAGTGGACCTGGAATTTCATTGCATACAATTTTATCCCCCTTGAAAAGGAAAGTTCACCGTGTTGGCCTACCAAGAGATTACTTCACTGCAAGCTTGTATAACCAGCAGCGGTGTGTGTTGCCAAATAAAAAAAATACAGATTTCTGTAAATATTCCTTATAGACTAATCACTATCAACATCATTTCAGCTTGCTAGACACAACTGACATAGACGTTAGTCTTATATACTAAACCGCAGATAACACCCAGCCTAGTAACATCAACTTGTACATGTGTCGCTTTGACATATCCGAAATGTTGACGGAACTTTCCTTGAATGATTCACGAGAATATCAAACACTAGTGACTCGCCCTGGCTTCGCACAGGTGCAATGTATAATACATATACACATTTCTCTTGAATCAATGTATCTAGTAAAAAAAAACATATCAAGATCCGTTGCATAGTTTTTAAAGATCTAAGCATACATAGGGACAGACAGACAGGGGAACGACTTTGTTTTATACTATGTAGTGATTGTATGAACTCAACATCAATCGGTGGGATTATACGAAATTGATATTAATAAAACTAGTGTCGCTTATCAATAACACTTGAATCCTTATGAACTTATGTCACTTCATGTTCCACACGTTACACGTACCTGATCGCGCGGCAGTGCGACACCCCTGGCACTAGATGCACGGGCGCCAGGGGTGTGCCGTGCTCTGGCAGAGGCCCCATCGGCATCCAGGGGTCGAGGCCACCAGCCACCGCAATCACGCCGTCCGGCTGGTGACGCCGGCCACCCCATAGCAGGTTACTCCTCTCTATGCCCCTTCGCAACACTCCCTCGTCGAAGCTGGTTTACAGTGGACAATAAAATATTTCAAACTAGCGACCCGCCCTGGCTTCGCACGGGTGCAATGTATTATACATATATTATACATATAAACGATATCTAGTAAAAAAACCGCATCCGTTGCGTAGTTTTAAAGATCTAAGCGTACATAGGGACAGACAGACAGCGGGACGACTTTGTTTTATACTATGTAGTGATGATAATATGGCTCACTCACTTGTAGAGACCGTTTCTTTGTATTAGGAGTTTTTGTACTGTACTGATTGTTAGTTACTTTAAACTAATTTAAAACTGCCTAACGTGATTGAATTTACTTGTTTCATTGATTTTGATTACGTGTACAATATTTTAAATTATTGGGATAACTTGATGTTGATGAAAATCAGTTGATAAGACCCCATCACATTCATGAATACATCTGTGCACATATATACAAAGCGACAGTGAAGTTTATAAATATTGTTAAAATAGGAAAACAAATTCAACCATAAACTCTACCGCCCCACTGTAGACTGAGCGAGTCTTTTTGGGGTTGAAAATCGGGCAAACAATCCAACTGCTAAATAGAGAATTATGTGTTATCATATCAACCCAATGATTGGCATAACATTAAATCACTTTATTACACGAAATTAACGTGATATAAATATATTATATGTTAGCTATATCTTCGCATTCAATATGTAACAAGGCTTGTAGACTGCAGTGACTTATAAATGTAGTTTTGCCGTGACGCGCCACCTAGCTTGTTTTGCGTCAATTTGCGGTTAACGTAATATTATTAATTGATAATTTAATTGGCTCTTTATTAGGCAAGGATTATTCCGTACCGAAATGAAACGGTTTATTGTTGCTGTTTATTACGCATGATGTTCGTCACGTCAGCTGTGAACCTGTTGTATTTTGTATGTATGAGAGTAAATATAATATTATATTAAGACATATAACGGAGTTGCGAGTAGGCATTTCATATAGTATCCAAAATGATGAGTAAAGTATTTAATGTAGAAAGTATGTATGTATTTATTAACTGTGGTAGGGCCACTCAACATCTTCCGCTGTTACAAGATTGGGCAAGTCCATCCGGGTTAGTACCACTACCTCAAAGAAGATCGGCATAAAGTATTACATTATTTCGTTTCTTCTGGTGAGTGAGGTAGCCGGGGCCCACTTTATTAAAAGGTGGCAACGCATCTGCATCCCTACAACTGGTGTTGCAGATGTGGGTTGCGGTGGGCATCACTTAACATCAGGTGAACCGCCAGCTCGCTTGCCACATTCTCACATAAAAAAATGTAGAAAACAGTGAAGAAAGGTAAATCTATGTTAAGAAACTAGCAATGGCTGATTGATGGAAAAGGCATGGTTGGGGTCTGTGGATCCGGAGGTATGATGATATGAGTGACTTCCAAACTTGTCGATAATATAGTTTACCATTAAGGCTGTTCAATAGCGGTTAGTAGAGGGCCTAAAACTTTTATGGTCCGTATAAAGTCATAGACAAAGTTGAAATTTTGTTATTCAACACAAACTTGTTCCAAGCTCCTATTGTTATATTAGATTTGTTTTTGAAATTTCATTTTTTTATAATAACTAGCTTGTAGCAAGTTTAACAGTAGCTCGCTCCATGATATTGCAAAGTCTGTTAACATTTCTTGGGGCATAGATGTGTAGTAACGAATTAAAATATTAATTAATTTTTAAATAATAATTAATTAATTAATATAATATTTAATATTTACAGAGTTGAAGATAAAAAGGCACGATAAATTGATAGTAAAAACTCCTCTTGGTAAAGTCAGATTTTTTGATTTTTTATTTATATCTGTCTTAATCGTTTTTCGAGTCCAAATCTAATCGCCTCAAAATAAATCACAGTTTTATAAATTTGAAATCAAATCTCAAATCAATCTTACTTAGATTGTATGTTAGATTGTACTTGTGGATGAAAGTTCTTCTCTAGACGTATCTGTACCATAATCTCGGATACCACTTTGCTACATTGTTTCAAGCAAAAGCACTCAGCTCTCGTTGTGAATGATAAGTAGCGAATGAATTATTCATATTAATAATAACTTTGACGGGTTGTACTTTAAACCAGTCGCTTTTAGCGCGATTTCATGAAAGCTCTATTTAATGCCTTAAACCTTAACAAATCCGTTTAGCATGCAGCATTTTGTTTAAGTAGTTTCCATGATACTTTGTAATCTTTCTAACCTATCGTCATTTCAATGGGTTTGTGCTTGGAGCTTGTCCAAGGATCATGTTTGATGTTCATTATAAAGGTAAAAAGATAATCTGCATAAGATTTTACATTTTATACCTTGTAATATATCCTATCGTGCTTAGTATCGTCAATCAATTTACATTTAGACATAAATAAAGTTGAACAAATCAGAGAAATCTCGGACCTGAGGTGAGCGGCATGAACGGTTCAATCCTTACTAGTGGAAAAATATTATGTGTGATGAATATTGAATATCGAATAATTATCTATTATTCGACATTCAAACGAATAGTTGAACTTTTAAAGAACAAGAAAATTTAACACTTAAAAAACAAAATATAGTATTATTATCATTAATTAATGTTAGCTAAAATAAGTTATGTTGAAGTTAATCAGTTAGCTTTTATAACTAAAGTTTAATGTCCAGATTGTGGTAATGAAGGATTAGGATAAAGTTGAATGCACTTCTTTTCATAAATCACTTACCTCAAAAACTAGTCTTTCTGAAGAAACAAAGCTACCTGATGTGATTAATTGTTTAACAAGCTTAATTTTCTCATATCTTGATGATTGGTAAGTTCAAGACTAAAAGCGTGATAGTTTTATTTTGATAACAAATAAATGTCTTTTTTCTATTCTTTTTTATGTCGAATAATAAAAAAAATAATCGGTATTCGACTATTCGCTTTAACAACAATTCTCTAAAGTGTTCTAATCAACAGATTAATTCTAATAATTTATTTTTTTTGGCTATTTATTCGTCAATCCGCCTTTAGTACAATTTATTTAATGTAATAACTATTCGTGGCATCTCAGAAATTTTCTAATTAACAGATTGATTCTTCATTGATTGACGACCCGAATGGCGTATTGGGTAGTGTACCTACCTCCTGCGCCAGAGGGTGTGGGTTCGATCCTCACTACTGAAAAATATTGCGTGGTGAACATAGTGTTTTTCTAGTAGCTGGGTGTTTATATATGTACATGTATAATTTGTATTTATTTACAAAAGAAAAGTATGTTCAAGTATGTTTATCAGTTATCTAGTACCCATAGTGCAAGCGTTGCTTAGTTTGGGACTAGAGAACGTTGTGTAAAAATGTGTCCTAATTATTATTATTATTATTCTAGTGTATACTACACGGTCTACTATCTGCTTACTAATCGCCGAAGAAGTCCTTGCACATCCGATGGAAGTACTCCAAGGGTACCGTCGAGAGGAACGGCTGGCGGTCACTGCTGGTGGTCTGGTACCAGCCGAACTCCACACAAGTTTGGTACGTCCACAGGCGCACTGCGGTACAAAAGTACAATGTTTTATATATTTTTTTTATTTTTATTTATGCTTCACTGTAAAAAAAGGTAACAAAAGGCCTGGCGTACATGAGTACAATATTTTATATATTTTTTAATTTTTATTTATGCTTTATTTCTAACCTTAAAAAAAGTAACGAGGGCCACTATGGTAATAAAGGTAACTTCTTAAAGTCCAAAGGCAATCTCTACCAGTCAACCTAGGATGTGATCAAAGCTTGAGGTGGGTGCAGCAAGGGATGTTAAAATTTAAAAAATATTATTATAAAAGGATAATAAAATAAGACACATGTATATAAATATAAGGAATATATATAAAAACTAACATGTTGGATTATACTTAAGTATAGATATAATTATAATTTTATACGTAAAGAAAAAAAATGTATGTTTCACCTATAATAATGGCTTAGATCTAATTAATGTTTGTCTACAACAAGTGTTCACGCACCATTCATCTGAGAGAGGCCTTATTTGTTGCATTTCTTATGTTATAGGGTAAGGAGTTCCAGATATTTGATAGTGAAGGAGTTTCCACAGAACCCGGTGAAGTGCTCTGGGATGCATAGTTTAATCTTATAAGTTGAACGAAGTACCCTATTATGAGATGGAGAGAGACAAATTAACCTATTTTTAATATAAGAAGGGGAAGAGTGATCATTTGAGATGGAGAAAAGCACGAGCAGTATTCTGGGATGCCGCCTTGTCAAATTGTGAGCCAATTGAGCTAAGAGCGATACTGGAATATATATGGTCATACTTTCGCGTAACTGAGACAATTATTTACGAGGCGATCCAGATAAAGATCTTAGTACAAGTCCATATAATACGATAATGGGTATCAGAGTTGGGACAAACAATATTTAATTCGCAAAATTCTGTATTTGCTTGCTTCCTTGAATTGAATAGAGCCGTGATGAGCCGCTTTGCCCGGTAGTGGTACATTTATAGGCTGTAACTTTTATTTTTTTACTTTATAACATTTGAACAATTAACGAATTTGAAAGAAGTAAGAAGCACACTAATGCCGCTCCCAATGCCTCCCAATTCGGTCCCCAAAGCTAAATCCAACTGTGACCAAAATTAGATAATTTTGGTCACAGTTGGATTTAGCTTTATTCAGATTCCGCTATGTATCTGCAGAATCTGAATACGGAACCGTTCAAACACATCGCTGTGAGAGTTTAACAAAGCGAAATCCGTCGCGAAAACTTCGCCGACATTATTATCCAGCCGGCCGTTATGCTAATGCGCAGAATAACGCGGATTCCATTATTTATAGAGATCCATTTGTAATGCAAAACGGTCGAAACTGGCTGAGATGTCCAGCGGAAGCGGAATATATATATTTTTAACATCCGGCTACTATCCGACTTCCGTTTTGACTGTAAAAATAGTGAAGGCAGTTTAGGAAAAACGGTCTTGATTCAATGGCATTTTGTACTCGAGTCTGATAGATAAAGTATTTTTTTATTAAAGCTAATTTCTAAATTTTATGGACGACCACGAAATTAGACGAAATTCAAATCGTATTCATGTCTCTAACTAATAGTTTTACAGCTTGTTTGTAAAATGTAGTCAAAGCTCCCACTTCATAGTAAGCGATTGAGCCCTGGATTCATCATTGGTTGTGATGATGATGGTAATAATTCAAGCTCTAACTTTATAACGAAAAAGGGTGAGCTCTTGATTTTTGACTGAGATTATTTTCAAGTCCGAAAATCGTTATTACAGAACGAACGCAAAAACACGTATACCTGTTGATATTTTCCGTACAAGTTCCATAATACATGATTTTCTTTTCTTATAATTCTGTCTCAGTTCCCCATTAATGCCATCTCTCTCTCATTCTCTTAAAAGTTGCGTGGCTGTCTGCCTGCAAACCGTTCGAACAATAGGGAAGGAGGTATTTGTATACTCACTGTTTTAACAACTGCGTAGCTGTCTGTTCGGAGTAACTCACTGACGGAGTCGTAGCTGGTGTTTGTATGGTAAGCCACTTGGCGCTCGTAGCGGCTCTCGATGCAGGGCTGCGTCCACGGCTGACTCCTCACCCACGTAGCCAATCGCCGTAGCGGATCGCCTACGGGTTTTAGTTACATCAGTTCAAGGTGTACTACGGTATATCGCGTTGTGCTTTTGCTCTTCTTTTGTACGGTTAGTACAGTTCATACTAAGTATGACAAGTGCTTATGAGGCCTTTTAAAGAGACTGTGTTAAGCGAATAAGCGAGATACTCATTGCTCACTGGCGTTAACTATTTACGGCACGTGGTTATGTTTTGTATATCATTTTGGACGGTGGTAGGACCACGCAGCAGCCTCGGCTGTTGCACGAACGGGCAGGCTCGTCCGGGTAAGTACCACGACCTCACAGAAGACCAGCGTAAAGTGGAAGTATAATATTTTAACGTTTCGTCTGGTAAGTGAGGTAGCCGGAGCCCAATTTTCAAAAGGTTGTCAACGCATCTGCAACCCTCGGGTGTAGCGGATGTCCATGGGCGGCGGTATTCACTTAACATCAGGTGAACCGCTCGCTTGACAACTTTTCACATAAAAAAATCAACAAAATGCGATCATTTAATATTTAAATTATAATAGTAATAAGAAAAAATATAATGTAAATGTATATACAGTCGAGGATGGTAGTTTCTTTATTGGCACATACGGTAACTAGGATCTAACTAAACTAGCTATTAACATATAAAATGATTATTCTAACGTGAGCTAGAGATTGATGCAATTGCACCAAGTAAAAAAATATTAATTTTTGCATATGCTTTTTTGGGAACGTTATATTTTCATAAATTATTTCTATTCTTTTATCATCTTCATCATTTCAGTCAGTCCACTGCATAATTAAGCCTCCCCCACAGACGAAGTAAGATGGTGAGCGTGATTTTTTCTTTAACTTTTGAAAATTATTAATTTCGAAGAAAATTTAAATCGATTCTAATTTAGATCATTAATTTCTTTTCATTTGCCAAACAATAGAATATACGGAATAACCAAGTCTCACTTTCACGGTGGTAGACTTTTTTGACGTTCAATAAAAGCTTAAATTAAACCTATATTGAACAAAGATATTTTGACTTTGACTTAAAAATATACATTATTTTGTAGTTGTAATGAATTACTCCCATCAACTGTTTTACTGGGTTTGCTTCCTTAAGAGTTTTATCAGTATAAAACTCTTAAGGAAGCAAATAATGACGCTGTCGTCTTGGCGGATCTTGGGTTGCATTACGATCCGCAAATACAACACGAAATTCGCAAAGAAGCAAGAAGATCCGTCACTCACTTTCTCTTATATCGGTGATGACGTCACACGCGGCCGGTATGTCGCCAGGCGTGGCGTACTGCACCAGATACGCGAACGTCTCGGTGATGCCGAACCAGAAGAATGTTGACACGTCCAGAGGGTTGGAGCCGTTGATGGGGGAACATGTGCTGAACATAAGAGTCGGTGTTACGCACATGGAGTGTGGTAGAACAGTGCAAGGACAGTGCCTAAAGTTAACATGTATTAAGTGATCATATTTTAATGAGTATTTACATATGAACAAGATTTTTATGTGGGAAGAAAAAACCGGCTGATGGTTCACCCGATGCTAAATGATAACTGCCGCCCATGGACATTTGCAACACCGGTTGGGTTGCAGTTGCATTGCCACCTTTTTGTAAAGTGCTACCCACTGCCCACCAGACAAGCCACATCGAAGCAATATCGTTGCCTTTATGCAACAAGTAATGAGGGTCGCAGGTGACCTAATAAGGTGATTTAATTAGATCCCTTAGATTCTCTGATGATTGAAATAGCAATTGGATATTAATACTACTAAAGTCTTTGTTGCCGTTGCCATTTTTACTAATGCAAAAATGCACAACAATTTGGCTACGAAGATCCAATTGGAACTTAAATTCATGTTGACCACTCACTTGAACATTTCGGAGACTTGAGCTGATCGTTCGTCTGCCAGCATTTTGACCGCCTTTTCAATTGCCTCTGCAACGCTTGCCACGCACTCCTCGCTACCCTGGCTGAGCAGGGCGTCCGTTATCACCTCCAGATATTCTAGTCAATAATGGTGAGTTTTATTCATAAAAATTAAATTCATATTAAAAAAAAAGCTTTCTTGATTTGTCTTTTAGCACAGTGTTAGTTAATATTTTTTGAAAACAATTGAGTACAATAAGTAATAGAATCGATCGATTGGTTGACATATTTGAATCATGTTTAATATATAGTCATCCTTATTTTATTAAATAAAAAAAAATATTCCAAGTTTCTATAAAAAGGTATGGGGGTTTCTGTGATAAGTATACCCGCATAACTATGGTTTAAATTATACAAAATGTAAAAACAAAAAAACAACAAAATTCAGTTTTTGGCTAGGCCAAAACTCACCAGGGAAATCCTCTTGCGCGAGAAGCGGTCCGCTGTCGGAGAAGGCAGCCGTGACGAGGTGCGGATATCCCAGCCTCATCCACGTGGCCATGCTGCCGGCGTAAGAGCAGCCGACCAGAGACACTTTGCCACCACTGCAAGTTGAAATTAAAACGTTATAGGATCATTTTTTTTAGGGTTCTGTGCCCAATGGGTAAAACGGGACCCTATTACTAAGACCCTATTACTCCGCTGTCTGTCTGTCTGTCTCTCCATCTGTCCGTCTGTCCATCTGTCCGTCTGTCCGTCTGTCCGTCTGGAACCAGGCTGTATCTCATGAACCGTGATAGTTGACAGTTAAAATTTTCACAGTGATTTCTGTTGACGTTACAGTAAACAGTATAAAAGTATTTACGTGGGGCTTCCATACAAACAGGTTTTTTGCCGTTATTATAGATAATGGTACGGAACCATTCGTGCGCGACTCCGACTCGCATTTGGTTGGTTTTTTTAGTGCTTATTCGCGCTTACGGTGACGCCGTTGCTACGCTATTGGCTTTGCCGTTGACGGTCATGGGTTCCATTCCCATACGGGACAAGTGTTCGTGTGACCCACAGATAACGGTTCCGGATCCGGGTGTTTGTTTCCCAAGGAGGGTTGACGTCAGTCAGGCGACCGGTCGTAAAAAAACATAGGCAAAACCGCTTACAATATGATTCACGTGTTGTGCCGACCCCACCTACGTGGGATTAGGGCGGGAAGATGATGATCACTCACGAAAACGTGTTTAATAAATATAATTTTGAAAATGTTTCGGCGCTGCTGGATTCGAGTCTGCGTTTGCTGGGAATACTGCCGTCGTATAATTTTTTAGGTTATAATATTTTAAGCTGTTAAGTTCAAATATATAGTCTATTGCAACACCTGCACCGGTTCAAAAATTCAGAAGGATGTACTAGAAAATGGCGACAACATTTTTATCACTTACTATTAATAAAATAAAATAAGCGTACAATTAATCGTAACTACTTAGGCTGAACTTCATTTCCGGCGTAAAAGTGGAAGAATAATACTTTCGGGTTTCATCTGGTGGGTGGGGTGACCGGAGCCCAATTTTCAAAAGGTTGTCAACGCACCTGCAACCGTCGGGTGTAGCAGGCGGTATTCACTTAACATCAGGTGAACCGTCTGCTCCCTTGGCAACTTTTCACATAAAAAACATTTAAACGTGATTACATTCGCTCAAATATCATCAGCTACGAGTTTTTGCTACAAAATGCTAAGGTAATTTCATTTGGACAGATCTCTCAGATCGGGGTTGATTTCCCAAAGTCAAAATCATTTCTTCATTCAATATAGGCTTATTTTAAGCTCTTAGTAATGAACGTCAAAAAACTAACACTTTTTCACTACACTAAACATGTCCATAGAAGAACTGGCAAGAATCCTGCGGTCTTCTTACCTTTTCTCTTCATTATATAAATATACAAAACTATTTAAGTATAAAATCAGGAGACTCGATGTTCATGTTCACGGGATTTGGACTGTCTCGAAGGATGTGCTTGGTAAGTGCGTCGTAGTTTGTCTGAATAAATTATTTCCTTGCACGTGGGCCGCTCAGTTTGTTTCTTTTGTTAAAGTAAATGTTGTTTGAGATCTAAAATTAGCACTTGCTACTTCTTAGCACGTACACATTTAATCAGCAGTTTACGAACGATCACTTCTGCTTCTCATTTGTTATTAGTTAAAAATGTATTAACAATCCGGATGTACACAATGATAAGTGTAGAAATAGGCCATAAGGTAGTACGTTTATTAATATCTATGAGGTAAAGGCAAATAAAATAATCTTTAAACCTTTTATTGTGTTTCCTGAGTATTTTTTCAATTAAGTGTGTTGTTGGTACTTTTTGAATAAGAACTCTTTTTACGAAAACGTCAGGTTTTTAAGAAAAAATAGAGATATAATCACGTACTCAATAATCATCAACTTATTATTTTTAACAAAGCTTTTTAGTGGAGTTTTCCCCTTTTTAGAAATAAGATATAATGTTCAAATGAAACGTTGAAGGGAGAGATTAAGAATATGCAAGTCATTGTTTATTTTTAATACAGTATCAATTAGCATCGAGTCGACGATGCAAATTATAGTAGCAACACTGCCTTTACACGATTCAATCGTCAGCTATTGTTCCATTGTTTTGTTTTTATATAGCATACGCCGGGCAACGCTCGAGGGGCTTTGCAGCTTGTACTACCGCATTTGTCACTTTGATTAGCTTTCATACGATGTCCCTATCCCAAGGTGATAGTTTAAGTGTGAGCATTGTGTAACAACGGTGGTAGGGCCACGCAACAATCTTTGCTGTGGCACGAATGGGCAGGTCCGTCCGAATTACCACCACCTCACAGAAGACCGGCGTGAAGTGAAGTGTTATGCTTCTGCGTTTCGTCTGGTGAGTGAGGTAGCCGGGGCCCGCTTTATTATAAAGTGGCAACGCGGCGTTTGTCGCTTACCACCAGTACTTGTTTAATAAAAAAAAATTGTGCACAACTAAAAGATAATTGACTGACTTACTATGACCCAATTTAGTTGTGTTGCATGGATTTATTTGGCTTGTAACATACTCGTATCGAGACGAGATTACGCGTACAAGCCAATTTCAGTACATAATTTTAAAATACTAACGCTAGTTATGAGCGAACCCGTCTTTTGTTGAACAGTGAATAATAATGAATTACAACTATATATCCTCTAATAACAAGTTGATTGCAAGTAAAAAGTAAAAATGTAAAGTAACAACATATAAATGTCTCACAGTTTGGCAAAGGCCTACCATGTACAATGGGTATTAGGGCATAGTCCACCACGAGACTCCACTGCGGATTGCCGGACGTTACATATGTTCCATATGTTTTTGCTGAACATAGGCCTCCCTCCCCCAAAGAGAACGTCAAGAAACGCGATACTGAGCCACCTGCATCCACCAAATTCCCTCACACTTGCACAGATCGTCATTCCATATAGTCCCCACTAGTTTGGGATGACCCCCGTCATCCTGAACTGCGATGCCAGTACTGCGGCCAGTACGTGGCGTTTACCTTTGCCCACCTGAATCTTCCACCGTCGAACCGATCGCTCCGAATGTACTGGATGAACTGCGCCAGGTCTGCCAGCGCTTGATCCACCGTCAGGAACCGGAGCTCCGTTGACCTCGTGTCACTTTGAAGGAAATGATAGAAGGAAATTAATAAACACCAATTCATTATCTATTCTTTCATCGTCTTCACATTCGTTTTTTATATACGACCTTAAACTAACTCTTCAACTTCATCATCATCATCATTTCAGCCTGTTTGAGTCCACTGCTGAACACAGGCCTCCCCGATTGACTGTGATGAAGTACGAGCCTGGGCCACCTACCCCACGCATCCATTGACTTCCCACACATTTGCACAGGTCGTCACTCCATCTACTGAGGAGTCATTCTACAGTTTTACGCTTCACCATAAGTATTACCAAGGTCACTATCATCGATTTAAACCATTATATTTAAGTTAAAATAACCGTTTTCCCCGTTTCAGAATGGGCGGTTGCGTCCGGTGAAGTACCATGACTTCTCAAAAGACCGGCGTAAAGTGGAAGTACAATACATTCGCGTTTCGTCTGGTGAGTGAGGTGGCCAGAGCACAATTTTCAAAAGGTGACAACGTATATGCAACCCTACGGGTGTTCCGAATGTCCGTGGGCGGCGGATATCACTTAAGGTAAACCGCCAGCTCGCTTACCACTAACTTAAAAGAAAAAAAAAAGAAATTTGTAAATTTTCTTCTTATCCTTAAGGTTGGCATAAATTATATGTGAAGTGGTAAAAGTTGAATATTAAAATAATTGAATAGTAAGTAAATTGAAATCATGTAAAATTCTCTCCCAAATGAGAGAACGGTGTTAGTTATGTTTGGTGGTATTCTGTTTATTATTATTCTTTTGAGGTAGCTGGACGCTGAGGGCGCCTAGTCTGTACCTCGATTATGTCATTATAGGGCTCCTGAGGGAGCCTCGGCTCGGGCAGTCACACTGTTATTATTAGTAGTTTGCTCCATGGAGTAACTAGGGTCAAGGGCTCACAGCCCTGTAGTCCCAGCCCTGTAGTCCCGGGCTCACAGAATAGGGCTAAGATATCCCCTGCCTGTCGTAAAAGGCGACTAAAAGGGGACACGGATGGGCAGCAGCACGAAGTGGTCTCGTGCTGCTGCAAGAAGGTGAAGGGATCGGAGAAGGTTTATCCTTCTAATCTGTGTCTAATTTATTAATACCTTTAAAGTTAACATTTTCAATTTTCAAGCCCAATTTTCAAAAGGTTGTCAACGCATCTGTAACCCTCGGGTGTAACAAATGTCCATGGGCGGCGGTATTCACTCACTTAACATCAGGTGACTCCCAGGAGAATCCCTGACCGTAGCGGAACATGTTTGCCGTCTGCTCGTTTGGCAACTTTTCGCATAAAAAAAAAAAAAAAAAAATAACATGTTTGGGCAATGACAATACGTCGATATTGTTTTTGTATAAATTGCTCTTTCAATACACCGCGCTGTTTTTTGTACCTCGTTTTAAAGTAACATACACGAAATGACATATTTATTTCGCACTCGTCTAACGGCATGAGACGAAGACGTCGCAACCTAATATATGTAACGCAGTAAAACGGGAATGATGAAAGCCGTTTAAGCCGTAAGCCGGTTTTATCGTCCGAACGAAATTTATGAGCCCGTTAAAGGGAAAGTCGTAGAAAAAGACACGTAAACGCTGACTCTGTTGATACGAATCTATCGACATTGTAGTAATGTCTATTCGAATAATACTTATGCTAACGTTTCGAATGGTAATCCTCGTTAAAGAGAAATAGAGAGAGATACATATGTCGCTTTCTCTTCATGAGTACGGATGCTTTAGGAGCCATGTGTCCATGCTAATGACTCGTCTGAAGTTGCACCGATCATGCCACCGAGCGCGTTTCTAGGGCCCGATTTACACTGGTCAAATGTTTAGAGAAGTAGATAAGTACAGTGGTTTAAACCGTCGGACAGTAGCGAGTTAACTTGGCTTGCAAGCTCCGCTTTCAATTTTTTGGTGCAAGTGCACCCCACTCGCGCTCTCTTGACCCCCGCGTGATATTTGAGTCGTCACTTGTCGTCGTTTAAACAGTGAAATTAGTACAGTGGGCGGCAACAAAATTGTCTGTATTGTTTGACTTGCTTGTTGCTCATACATTTTGACAGAGAAATGCTACTAGACTTGCTGTAGTATAAATATCCACTTGTCCGGTCGCCACTGGCCACTGTACTTGTTCTCGCTACGCGCCACTGTCCTTGACCGATGTAACCGGACTTAACTCCCCTTTATCTTCTTCGCCTTCAGCTATATAAGCCGAATGATGGGATATTCGTGCGACAGTTGCCCGTTGAATTTTACGTTAAAAGGTGGCAAACAAGCTGGTGGTTCACCTGATGTTAAGTAATAACCGCCGCCCATTGGCATTCCAACAATACAGAAATCTAACACTTCCATTTCACGCCGAACTTCTGAGGTCCTGCATTATTCCTTGTTCCATTATTTAATTCAGTTGAAATAATAGAATGATTTAGTTTAAATCATGTGCTAAAAAGTGTTTTTTCCGGTAAATTAATGGTGTTTGACGTCGCGGCGCCAACATTTATGCATATAATACCACCTACACAGGCGTGATTATACAGAAATCTGATACTAAAATACTAATTTAGTAAAGATTTTTTTCTGACATACGTGAGCGGGTCTGATTACATTGAGTTACGACTAATTTTGGTGTACGTCGCTTAATGGATATCCGTTGCAAGCGAATCGGATGCTCAAATAAATCTCTAGGGCTGTGCATGCACATTATTTAACTTTTACACAAATCTCCCGTATAGGCGGACTCAATACTCGAGGCATTCTGCTACAAGCTGCTGATGCAGAAATTTAAGTAGATGTAAATGTAAAGAAAGATATGAAGATAACTAAAACATTGATACGCTCAATTATAAGTACAAAGATATTATAATAAATACGATTATTACAATACATCTATATACGCGTATACAAAAATATGAGAAACGAATTAAAATATAAAATACGAGTGAATAATAATGCGATTGATTTGCAAACTTAACCAGAACCAGTTTGTGTACTTGATCTGAAACGCAAAGTGAAGTGGCTCGTCCTCCGCTCAAGTTCAATACGTTATGCATTATGCTAGAAAGTTACTAGATGAGTCTGTGGCGTAGTTACCTAGGTATTGGCTTCGGCGCCGTGATCGTAGCTTCGATTCCCACACCAGAAAACCATTTGTGTGGCCCACGTAATGGCTTCTGATCCGGGTGCTTGTCTACGTGGAGTTTATCTAAGTTAAGCGAGCCGTGATAGCTCATTGTCAAGGCGTTCGTTTTTAAATCAATTCACACGAGCAGCCCGAGTTCGATCCCCGGTGTCGGCACCAATAAAATCATTTAATTACTTCACTTTACTTTACTACTACTAACGTCCTAACAACACAGGATAATGTTATCCGTAGAGTAAGGGGCTATTGTTTTCGAATGCAGACCATTACAGATCTTTCTATGTCGTAAGCGTCGTTGGTAAGCGGTTACTATCTTTTACATTGCTTAATTAACACGATCCATTGTCAAATCTAAATTGCAATATATCTGTGTCAACCCTAGAACGAGTTAAGTCTAATTGTCCATTGGCCGAATGACCCCGGGGTTAAAGGGGACCGTAACCCGTGCTCAGAACCATGACCGCTGTCGCTTAGGCGTTATATGGACCCACGTATAGGACAGAGTACATAAGCATGCAGTACGACTATTCGGTATAGTGGTGGTGCGGAAGTACAGAAATGTTGAAAGAAGCATTGGCTTTATATCATGCAAACCTTTGAATAGTACGAACAAGTATTTTTGATTTGGTCGTTTTACATCTATAAATTTCAAATGGAGATTGCTAACAATCATATGTAGGTAATACGAATATTACTCCAGTTAGATAAAACCCACATACACTACTTCCTGATTCGGAATCCCTAACTTAACAGCTAAATATTAGCAAAGTTACAGTGAAAATCTGTCAGGATTTTATTAAGAATATTCAATTAATAATTTTTAGGAATGTATTTTAAATTTTCTGGCTTACCACCAAGTAATGTGTATTGCATGCAAAAATATGGCAACTCAACATGGTCGGATCTTTTCAAACAGATTTTTTTTTATGTGAAAAGTTGCCAAACGAGCAGACGGTTCACCTGATGTGAAGTGAATACCGCCGCCCATGGACATATGCTACACTTGAGAGTTCGCAGATGCGTTGACAACCTTTTTGGAAATTGGGCTCCGGCCACTCCACTCACCAGACGAAACGCGAAATTATTTGTCATACCTCCACTTTACGCCGGTCTTCTGTGAGGACGTGGTACTAACCCGGGACGAGTCTGCCCATTCGTGCAATAGCCGGGGCTGTTGCGTGGCTCTACCACCGTTAAAAATTATCATTTCAATAAATGTTTGGTCCATCAATAATATTCTAATTAAATCGTTGGCACTAATTGGAATGAAAGCAAGCTCTGAATGAAGTACGTTCTATTAGGACTGCACGTAAAGATTTAAATACAATGTTGCAACCAGAAGCGATACTCTACCCTCTAATTTTATGATTTTACTTGTGACTTCGCTATCACTTTTATTTTTTATTTCCATTGGAGTTTCGTAATAAAAAGTACGTAAAACACTCTCCTGTTCAATATATAAGTTGTGAACAAATCAATAGCTATGTTGTGAACAATCAATAGTTTTGTGGGCATAAACAAACGGAAGCATAATTTTTATATACATAGATTACAGCGTTCTAAATTTCAGTACCTGGGTACCTCTCATTCTGCAATCTTCGATCTGCTGGTAATCTTACGTTGCTTATTCCTTCTAAAATCCTTCGCTGTTACAGCTGCTCGACTCTGGAACGCCCTTCCTCGTGAAATTCGAAAATTTGATTTATTTTTAAAGCTAAATTCAATAATACATGTCCATGACGTCGCTTGGTATTTCCGTTTTATGACATATAACCTCGTAAGTTAAATTGTCCACCTAATTGCCATATTATATAATCCTTATATAGCTAGCACCTACACTTCTCTTTCACTAACTTTCCGGTTGGCT